TGGTGCGCCGCCCTGCCAAGTGCCTTTGGGGATGGGGCAGCTCTGCGAGGCCCCGAGCACCACCGGCGTTCACAGCCCGGCTGTTCGAGGCTACGCGCAGCATATGCTGCCTTGTGCCTCGTCGCTCTGTGGAGACCCGCAGCGGCGCCATCTTTAATCGCACCACTGTGGCCCGTATTCCCCACGGCACTTTGTTAAGCGTCCAAGCAGGAGGCCCACTCAGTTAATTAATAGCTGTTTCACGCTTCACTTAACCTTCGCGTTCAGGGCCTAGGTGCCAGGCTTTCTGCCGGCGCGGGAGTAGCGCCCCGCGAGGCAAGAGCAAGAGGTGAAGTTGCGGTGTGAGATGAGTGGCCGCAGTTTGCGCAGCGAAGGGTAAAACTCGGCCAGGTGTCTAAAAACCGGAAGAGCAAATGGCAGGTCCCTTCAATGCTGCGTTCGGTCTCCAGGTGACCGAGCGCTGGAGATGACCAAAGGAAAAGATTGCTAAAACTTGGTAGGTACTTCCCCCTAACCTTAGCGCTTTGAATTAGCTGAACATCTCCAGCCAAAATTTCCCTAGCGTCACCTCAGCCTAAGACAAACCGCTTGGCAAGAAACCTTTGACCAAGTCAGCTAAACTTGCAGCGAGCTATAACCAGAGGCCTGTAATTAGAGCCAGGTAGGCAGCCCTGATGGCAGGCAGTGTTAAGCCAGCCATAATGATGGAGTTTCTAAAGTGGCCCTTCCTGGAGTCTCAAGTATTTGGTATCACAGAATCACAGAATGGTTGAGATTGGAAAGGACCTCTGCAGATCACAGAATCACAGAATCGTTTAGGTTGGAAGGGACCTCTGGAGATCATCTAGTCCAACCTCCCTGCTCAAGCAGGGTCACCTAGAGCATATTGCCCAGGATCACATCCAGACGGGTTTTGAATATCTCCAGCGAAGGAGACTCCACTACCTCTCTGGGCAACCTGGTCCAATGCTCTGTCACCCTCACAGTGAAGAAGTTTTTTCTCAGGTTCAGGTGGAACTTCCTGTGGTTCAGTTTCTGCCCGTTGCCTCTTGTCCTGTTGCTGGGCACCACGGAGAAGAG